ATTTTTACAAAGTTCCATTACCTTGTTACGCAGGACTTTGACAGTTCTTTTCTGATCGCCATGGCTCAGTATCTAGCCTAGTCAGTGTTTCCACGTAAGAGCTAGCAAACTCATTGACTATTTATACACTGACACTAATTGCAATTTAAAAAGCCACAGATGGGTGATTTCTGTTATGATTTCAAAAGGAGCCAAACAACTATATGATGATAAATGGCTTCATATGATCCTCATCCTTCAATAAAAGAGCATTTTTTGGCACGATCAGTTGTATTTTCAAAATCAATGCCAAAGTTTCACAATTTCTGCCAGGGTATGCAAACTTTTGAGCACAAGGGTACATATATTTTATGAGAAAATAAAATTGGGGGTGTTGCAATTTTTTTATGTTGTGGTATTTGCACAATGGTTTTTCAAACAAATTTTTTTTGGGAAAACGTTTTTTGTGAATACAATATAATACCCAAAAGATAATGTTATGCCGAGTAAATAAATACTTGCTTTAAAATTGCACGTGCCTGTAGAACAGCGACAAACTACAGTACATTAAATTATCCATAGGTGATGCTTTAAAAGCCTTTTACAGGTTACCACTTAGTTTGACACAAGAGATTTGGTGCTATTTACGCTGTTTATGTATGTGATGATGCGTATAAGCATGGGGGGTGGAGGCGGTTTTTTTTTGTTTTATTATATTTACCTTTACTTTTTTTAGCACTTTTATTGCTATGTCAAGGGATAAACAACATCCCTTGTTATGGCATGAGCCCTGACAGGTCCTCTTTATGGAGGGATCTCTCCACAGGCCTCCAAAGCAGCAGATAAAACCAATATCGGCACTGTATTTAATGTCATGCTCTGTTCTGTCTTCCACACCTGCTTAGTCTGTAACTTTTTGCCCAAGATGTGCTTTCCATATCATTTCAGTGTCAGGTACACTTTTGCTGTTTTAGAAATTCAGAACTTGTGGTTTCACCTTCCGATTTTGCTTTCTACATCTGCAGAAACCTTTTCTACCTATTCTGATACATCAAAGTCTAAGGAATCCAATCCTTTACTAATACCACTACTAATTTCTACTCTCTCAAAGCACACCCTGTATGGCAATCATCAGATGTTACTCGTGTTCTTTCCAACGTCATAAAATCAACTTTAGTTCAGTGCTCTGTTTGTGCAGTTCTAGGAAAATGCCTTTAATTTTTTGTAGAAACCCAAGAATTGTTAGCTCTGTTGGTTTGGCTTTCAATACAGATCATGTCTATTCATTACTGGTTGTGAAGCTGAAAAATTATGTGTGCATGTACAGGATGCAGGTGCAGCAGAAAAAGGGGAACTGTGATCCCTAGCTCTCCTGCCTAGTGTGGTCAGTTTTTAATAGGCAAGCAGAGGGAATGGAACACCAGGGTTTTCACACAAAGGAAACCATAAAAAGAGAGCAGAATACTTTTTTGACACAAGCACAGTACCTGGTACAGCAGGCACATATCAGGGCAATGAAATGTTGGGGTTTACATATTCTTTAAAGTATGTACCCTTTCAGACTCTGTATATCTATGTAGCTATTTGATATCTAACTGCACAGAACTCTTGCATCCCAGCTCAGGAAATTTACATATGTGGAAGTTGATGATACCCAACCTGAACAAGAAATTACTGGTAGCATCTCCGATATGCAAATATATTAAAGTTCAAAAAAAGTTTTCAATTTGTGGTTCTGCTGTATGTAATGAACATGAAAGATCCTCTTCCTCACTAATGGTATAAGGCAGAGTTTTATATTGACTGTGTGTTTGCATAAAATAGTGGTTTATACAAATAACCGATAACAGTATTTGGAGAATAAAATAGATTTTATGGTTCAAAAATGACTGGAATTTGAAGCTACGCAGTGAAGCCATATTTATTAGGCAATAGTATGTAAAATATTATCATGACACACCCACTAATACTGCAGAATATAGGATCCAAAGGTCTGCGTGAAGCATTTGAGTAGGGCGGCTACCTTTTTAATAGCTGCTTGCATAATACAGACGATAAGGGTGTGTTAAAATGTCATTCTACAGGGAGGAAATCTCTGAGTGATGGTTCTTGTTTCTTTATTTACAAGGATTTTATGTGCTTTCAATTTGTTTAATACATAAAGTCAATAAATATATTGTACCAACTACCAACAGGTTATTGATTTATTTACAAAATTATGATCAAATAAATATTTGCATTAAGGTGAAATTTCAATTATGTGCTTCATAGGCCATATTTTTCTACATTGTATAAAACTTCAATGTGTGTAGAACTTAAAGCAGAACTCCAGGCAAGATTTTTTTTTTTTTTTTTTTGCATGTGCTGTGGAGCTCTACCCGCACTGCACGGGTGTATTGCTCATTTTGTTCTAGGGGAGAGGACAGCAAAGATATACTTACCTGACCCGCCAATTCTCCCCGAAAAAGACCAGTCTCTTCTGCTCCTGCCCCCTCGCAGTCTTGTAAATGGCCTGTTCCTGGCGTCAGCACGTTCCATTGGCAGGTACAGTCCACTGCTAGACTAGAGGAGCATGGTTCTCTGGTGAATATGAACTTTGTGCTCGATCCTAGAAAAAAGCAGTTGTCCCATGCAGTGGGGGCACAGCCCCACTGCATGGTGAAATAAAATTTTTGCCTGGAGTTCTGATTTTAAAAATTAGGTTTAACAGGGTATAGGGTCCAATTTCAGCAAATCACAGATACTGCTACTGAAAGGGCACCACAGTGCTTACTTTTGCTTGTAAATGGGCTCTCCTGTCTACACTTTATTTACCCTTCTCACTGAAAGCAAGTGAAGCAGAAAGCACTTAGGTGGGTTTTACGCAGATTCCAGAATATCTGTTTCTTTGAAAAGCAAGAGACTGGCCATGATAAGGCCATATCACTGCTTAAAAAATCGGCCACATAGTGTATAATAGAACATTTAGTTACTTGCTGGATTCATATTTCTTCTAAATGACATGACCGGCTACAGTAACTACACATATTGTTATTCCAAAGCGACAAATAAGGCTGATGCTCCAGTTTGATCTCTTTCCCTTCTTTGTCTTAAGAGTCGGCTAAGAAAAAAGTAGAAAAGCAGGGTCTAAAAATCAGAGAACAGCAGAAACACAATAATAATATTAATAATCCCTTGCCATTAGGAGACGCCACCAACTGACAGATGTCCACACTGGTTAACTCCTTAATCCAACCTGATACGTCTCAGCTTTGCTTAGCAAGGCCTTCTTGTAGCCTGAGAATTTTTTTCTCTTCCCCTTCAGGTCCTTAGATCTTTTAGACCCCACAATTTTTTTTTTTCTTTTTGCCTCTAAACTACATATTTTACATGTGATAAAGCATTACTTTTTCTTAGAGGTTCTCGGTCATTAAAAAAAAAAAATAAGTCAGCAGCTACAGATAATGTAGCTGCTGACTTTTAATAAAAGCACAAATACTTGTCCAGGGATCTAGTGATGTGCTCACCCTGGCAAGTTCTTTTCAAGTACTTGCTTCCTCTGCGTATTTACTGTGTGAAGCCAGCTGTGACTCCTTTGGACTTCACAGCCAGCTCCAATCTGCGCATGCATAAAATGTGCTACACTTTGTGCATAGACCTGCAGCCTTCTGGGACCTGTGACAGGCTTCAACAGGTTGCGGGTGGTGGGACAACATCCGGTGAAATCGTCTAGGCGATTCCAGTGGAAGTGGGTGCGGGTACCTATTTTTGTCAGTTTACATTCATTTGTTTGCATTAAAGTGATAGCCTACAAAGTTGTAATTTTTTTTTTTTCTGTCACTACGTTTTTGGAAACTAAGAAATTTTTTTTTTTTTAACATACTGTCTCCAGTGCAGCGCAGAGTCATCATTTCACTGGCGTGGTGGTGATTAGGAATACTGACTTGTGACCGTATGTAAAAAAAAAACTTTTTTTTTTACACATTAATCTGCGTAGCTCAGTGTCGCCATTTTTAACACTGCACTACTGTTTGTGATCAGGGATTTGATTTATTTTACACCGTGATTTTAACAGCAGTTGCTTGGACTGTCATGAATGGGTTTCCATTTATTAAAGCTTGCTTTCTGTTGCCATGCTGTGATTGGCTACAGCTGGTCACATGATACGGTTGCTGTAATTGGCCCAAGTATCATGTGATAGCTGTGGGTCAATCACAGCATCACTACAGAAAGCACAGTTGTTATGAATGAAACTCAGTCATAACAGTTGTGTACACATTGTGATAATGTGATTCCCAGCTGCTCAAAGCAGACCAGCTACCAGGAACTGTAATCTGCCGTGTCCTGGGGACACAGTGGCTATGGGAGTGGCGCATCAGCGCACATGTGCCAGGCAGCATAATTTTACACTGTTGAGACTGGCTGTGCCACCCATCCGCAGTAAAAGTACTATGAGCAGATGGCCAGTGGATAAACTCATCTTGTATGTACAATATATGTAGTCTAAAGCCCAGGTGGCCAGTCTGTGGCCCGGGGTTTGTATGTGGCCCTTTGACGCTTTTTGTACAGCTTCTGCTACTCTGTGTTTTCTCATTTCCCTGTTTATGGTAGTGATTTCTAGTGGTCTTGTGTAATGTTTCCAGATGGTTGTGTTCTGAAGCATATCCCCATCTCCAGATGGCTGTGTTCTGAAGCATATCCCCAGTCTCCAGCAATTCCTACACTATATTCACAATTTCTGACAGTCTCCTACAACACAGTCTATGACTATCTCTTCTATTATGCCAATATTCTGAGCATAATGTATTTTGTGTCTGCCTTCTCTGACACTGAATACTCACTGAATTTTATGCGAGGGCCTTTGGTGATGTTGGGGTGCATGCGTGAGCCCCCTCATATGCATTACCTTATTTAACTCCTGAAAGTATTCTCAGGTTCTTCCTGGATCTACAATATGTATTTTTGTATTTGGTTTTTTTTTTGGAGGGGAGGGGGGGGTTCTTGGATACTTGACTGTGCAGCCTTATCTTACATTGTTCTCCATGCTGAATGGTCAAGCTGAGCACCAGTTTTTGCTGGTGGGTGGTCTGTCATGAGTATTGGGCAATAGTGAACAAAAGGCGCACCATTTTGTGCATCACTTATGTCCATATCACCAGCTGTAGCAATATTGTTTATACTTATTTGTTTTATAAAGTATTTCTTTCAAGATACACATTTTGCCAAAGTTCTTTGGAACCCCCTTGCTTTCAGTGGAAAGTTAGTAGATGTCTCTGCAATGGGTACATTGACCACAATAACAAACCAGTTTTAAATCTTTCTTCCAAGACAAAAATGTTTTGGTTTAGAGTTTCACTCTAATGCCCAACTATAAACACTAATATCGCTATGAACTGTAATTGCAAAAAGAGCAAAGTGCACAGATTAAGTATAATGGGTATATAAATATTTGTTGAAGACAATTGCCAACTTGCATGTAAAACAAATCGTGCTTATCATGGTTCTCTAAAGGATTCCCAGCTGGGGAGGACACCAAAGAAACTCACAGTGAATACACTGGATATGGTCTGGATAGCACCTGCAATAGCTAAGAGAGAGGGGGGGGGGGGGGGGGGGGGGGGGGGGGGGGGGGGGGGGGGGGCGAAATTAAAGTGCAACAAGGTGGAGAGGTGGATACAGCATGCAATAACTGGCAAATCAGTGTGTGGATGATTTTGTGCATTACAGTCATTGGTGCATCTGTTATTGGGAATAGGAGGCATCCATGATCCCCTGTTGCTGCAAGGGGTGGAGTGTGGTAGCTGGGGTATCCAGTTAGTCTCAGGATAGGATACCGGAAGCAGCATGTACTACACCCACTACACTTAGTCTGCGCACATTACTCTTTTTGTCCGCTGCCTAGGGATCTCTTCAGTCTCTCAGAAGTGCTGCCTTAAGTGTGCTGGATTGGATTCTTCAACTGTCCCAAACCCATAGGATTTATCTTGAGGATTTTGGACCATACTATGCTTTTTCATACATGTAGTTTTTCTCAGCCTAGGCTGCAGCCATTTTTATACATGAACTACCCATGTCCATTTTTAACCAAATTTTCAGAATGGTTCTAGACAGGGCATTCGTCTTTTCTGATTCTGTTTACCTCCTTCCTATGATCCAGTATGCGTGGCTATGAAGGTTTCTGCTCTGAACCAGGAGCACTTGGTGTGCATTTTTTCAGGCTCATACACTTTGAAGAATGGGAAAAATGTATACTAGCATCTTTTGTGAATTAATTAGCATGTGAGAGGTGTGGAGTAAATAAATACAAGGCTGCAAATAAGAGATACTTAAAATGGTTGTAAACCTCTGAAATGAAAAACGAACAGAGCATATCCCTCCTATAGCGTGTGCTAGCATAAATTCAAAGCACTGAGTAATAATTTCCCCTCTCTTCTATATGGTATCTGCATTAGTCACTTCTGACAGGTTATCCCGACACAGAATCTCAGGAGATGTCCTACCCCCTCCCCACCCTTTCAGTACAGATGAGATCATTTACAGCCACAGCTGTGCATGTTTCCCTATGAGACTGTGTAGTGTGGAGAAGGAAGTGTGACTTTTCCCTTCACTCAGGTCTCAGATTGCACTGCATAGAGATGAGAGCTGAGTGTAGGTTGTGACATCAGATCCTTGCCCCCTGCCTGCTGGAGCTGAGAAAAAGCCTTTTGATCTGTGTTTTAGAAGGCTGTAGAGAAACAGGTTTTAAGAGGCTGCAGATAAACAGGTACAGCTTTTGTAGGAGGATTTGTTTTATCTTGTCTTATCACTTCAGTGGGTATATGTGAGGGTTTACAACCACTTTAAAGTGGTAGTAAACTTCTTTTTTATACTTTTGCCTACAAGTAAGCTTATAATAAAGCTTACTTGTAGGTAAAATGATTATCTCCTAAACGTGCAGCCGGCACATGGGCTGTGAAGGAATGGCATACCCATACCGTTCCTTCAGAGCACTGTGCCGTGGCCCGGGACATCATCGTGGCTCTGCCAGTCAGACGGCCAGAGCTAGCGAACTTTGCATGTATAATATTCTAACAGCTGTCTGTCTCTGTCTGTAATCTGAGTGTGGAAAAAATTGTATAGTAAAAACACATCTTCACTACTTTCCCATCCAGTCTGGTCTTTTTTTTTTTTTGTCTTCAGACTACTACAAACGATATAGTCCCACATTTCAATTGCAACGCTGGTCATACAGTAAAAAAGCACAGTTGGCCTACTATGTAAACCTTAAGTATATGAAATCCCATTTATTAAAATTTCAAATAAGCTTTATTATGATGTTGTAATCTTTAAAGCGTTACTAGACCCACAACAGTAAAATCATTCTGTATATGCAGTAAAGCATGCTTGTTATACTCACTGTGGAACTTAAGGGGTTCATCCTCCACATTGTGTAAAAAGGGTGGGGAGGGTGCATGGGCCAATCAGCACTCTCTAGACAGAGGGTCAGGTATTATGCAGCCTCATAGGACAGTCAGAAGAGAATTAAAACTCTGCCTATAAGATTAACCAGTGCTCATCCAGACACTGATAGAAGTCACAAAACTGCTCTAACTGCTGATGAGAAAAGGTATTCAGCAGTTTATATTTACTAAAATAATTGCATTTCCATGTTCTGTGTACTGTGGGAGACCAGATATAGTGAATGCAGGGTCCTGGGTTTAGTAACACTTAAAGTCATTTTAAATTTTTTTTTATTTTTAAACCTGCGCCTTTCATTTAATTAATACTGATACTGACATGAAGGTTCTTGTTTGGGCTCTAATTGTTACAAATTTCTGTTGTCTCCCAATTGTGTTTCTGTGTTGTCACCCTTCAACATAGATTTCTAATAGAAATGAGTGGGCTTTCTAATATGCATAAATTAGCAATTGTCTGCTTTTTTCACCATCAGGAAACCCACCCTGGGAAATTTGGGTACAGCCATTGCTAGAGTGCTTTTATTTAGACTGGAAGTGGCTGCAGTGAGTCTGCAGGAGATCATCAGTAATGAACTGCAACAAAGGATGTAAATAATGAAAGCAGCATTCAACAACAATATTATTTTTTAAATGGGAAAGTGTTTTTTATGCACATTATTTTAGCAAACAAAATATCAAGTCAAATTTACAGTCTTTCTGGATATTATGACATTCTCCCCACTTTGACGATTGACTGGGACTTTTTTTTTCTATTGCCTGAAGTCAGCCATTGAAAAAAAAAATCTTTGCTAATGGGAAAAGTAGGCATGAAGGAAGCCGAATTAAAGGGACAGTTGGGAGGTTTGCTAGAGAGCTGTGACATGAGAGAATGGCCAGTACAACAGAGCTTACAATGGCTTCTATGCACAGCTACTGTTAGATAGAATACAGGAGGAATAGAGTGGATTTTTACGTTACGAGTATGTAAAAAATCATCTGTTATGGATCACAGACACGTTCTTCTCCTTCAGATTTGGCTGCCAGGGCAAACCAGTATAAATCAATTGCAGTTTTTCAATACTTATTTAGCAATACCAGCTGCTTTTATTATCCTCAAATATCACTTGCTTTTAAACCTGTTGTAAGATTTTATTTAACTGTATAGAATTTTCTATATATTGTGGTCTGTATTTCATATGGAAACACTAAATATTTTCTAATATATCTTTTCCAGGCACAGCATAAAGACAGATTCATTGAAGAGCGCTATGGCAAATACAATATCAGTGATCCCTTGCTGGCCTTGCAGAGGGATTATGAGACCCTCAAGGAGGACAACCATGGACAGAGGCCCCCTGTGTGTTCCAACCCCCTGTTCATTTTAAAGGAAGTCATGAAGCAATGCAAGGCCATGCAGGAGAGGATGCTGGCTCAGCTGGCTGCTGCTGAGAGCAGGCATAGAAAGGTGAGTAAAAGTAATACAAATTGTAACCGTACTATATAAATTATAATTATTTATACACCCAGTCGATTAGTGAATGATTTAAAAGAAATGAACATCCCTTAATGCATTAATAATGCCAAAAAAATCCAAAGATATACAAATATATGCAAAAGTCAATATTTCATGCAATCTCCATGCCAAAGAAAAATCAAAAATTCATAAAGTATACACATGCAGTTCATATAATTTTTGAATCCATAAATATTAGCATACCCTTGTTGTTGTTGTCCCGTGACAATTATTATATGATCACCCTGTGACTTTCCATGTATATAATTATATAATAGAAAGGTGAGTGTTTTATTTGTGATGTTTTAGGTTTGGACAGCCGTGACATTGTTTAGTAACTTTCAGCATCTGGAGATAGAATGCAAGTTTGTGTCAAAATCCATGGCATGTTGGTCAATATTATCAAGAAAAAAGTATATATCCAGGAGTATTCTGTATGCCTGACCAAGGTGGAATAAATGGCTAGAACCTGAATTTCCCTCTGAGCACTGATTCAGAGTCTGACAACCTACTTTTTGGCAGCTTTGTCACTCATAAGGAATCTCAGGCATTTTGTTACCTCACCTATCTTCTGCCATTAGTAGATTTGCTGTGTGGTAATCTGAACAGAAATGTTATATAAAAATGTGTGTGTGTCATTTAAACTCATGGGATATTGATCTGGTCAGTTAAGTAGCAGAGGGGGTTGTTAATGAGTTTCAGCATCACTACTGGTAGCATGACGCAATATCTGGACCCTACAGAGGTTGCACAGGCAATCCAACTCTTCCAGGATGGCATATCAGTATGTTCCATTGCCTGAAGGATTGCTGTGTCTCCCAGCACAGTCTCAAGAGCATGGAGGAGATTCCAGGAGACAGGCAATTACTCTAGGAGAGCTGGACAGGGCCGTAGAAGGTTTTTAACCCATCAGCAGGACCGGTATCCGCTCCTTTATGCAAGGAGGAACAGGATGAGCACTGCTAAAACCCTCCAGCAGGCCACTGGTGTGAATGTCTGACCAAACAATCAGAAACTGACTTCATGAGGGTGGCCTGAGGGCCTGACATCCTCTAGTGGGCCCTGTGCTCACTGCCCAGCACCATAGAGCTCGATTGGCATTTGCCATTGAACACCAGAATTGGCAGGTCCGCCACCGATACCCTGTGTTTTTCACAGATGAGAGCAGGTTCACCCTGAGCACATGTGACAGACGTGAAAGGGTCTGGAGAAGCTGTAGCGAATGCTATGCTGACTGTAACATCGTTCATCATGACTGTTTTGGTGATGAGTCAATGATGGTCTGGGGAGGCACATCCATGGGGGATGCACATGCCTTTACAGGCTAGACAATGGCACCCTAACTGCAATTCGGTATGGAGATGAAATCCTTGTACCCATTGTCAGACCCTACGCTGGTGCAGTGGGTCCTGGGTTCCTCCTGGTGCACGAAAATGCCCAGCCTCAGGTGGCGAGAGTATGCAGGCAGTTCATGGAGGATGAAGGTATTGATACCATTGAATGACCCCCATGATCGCCTGACCTGAATCCAATAGAACACCTCTGGGATATCATGTTTCGGTCCATCCGATGCTGCCTGGTTGCACCTCAGTCTGTCTAGGAGCTCAGTGATGACCTGGTCTAGATCTGGGAGGAAATACCCCAGGACATAATCCGTCTCATTAGGAGCATGCCCCGACGTTGTCAGGCATGCATACAAGCATGTTGGGGGCCATACAAGCTACTGAGTATCATTTTGAGTTGCTACAATGAAATTTCAGCAAAATGGACTAGCCTGCTGCATCATTTTTTCATTTTGATTTTCAGGATGTCTTTGAATTAGTCAGCTGTAGGCTGATAATTTTCATTTCCATCAAACGATGGGGCATCCTTACATTTCCTAACACATTACCCAGTCCATATCAGTGTAGATATCCAGTATGAGATTTTTCCCCATTGAGATCTGATGTGTGTTCAAAGTGTAACTTTAATTTTTTGAGCAGTAGGTATGTATATGTGTGTGTGTGTGTGTGTGTGTGTGTGTGTGTGTGTATATATATATATATATATACAATACTGTACTGCATTTCATATGCCTAACTTCACCCTCAAAAACATCATCCCCTCCTTTCCACCCCTCCTCCAGACCTCTACACAGATTGTTATTGTGTTGCCCCTTCATTCACATCACTCGACTAGGTGAATGAAATTCACAGTGCTTCCTGTGCCTCCTGGGATATATACATCACATATGCCAGGAGGCATAGTCTTTCATTCACAAAGGAGGAGGAATGGTGGGCCTAGTGGTGTGTCATTGGGATGCCCACCAGCTGAACCCGGAGAAGCCAGCAGCCTCCCAATGGCATCACTAAACAATGTGACGGTGTGGGACTGAGCGCTGCCAGAAAAGAAGATATCGGCTGGACAATGCTGGACCAACTAGGTGGGTAAATATCTGAGCTGTGCAGAACACACCACTGCCACCATTACAAAAATGGGGTGGGGGCAATTTATGAAAAAAATAAACTATTGTTTAGTTATAATAAAATACGTAGGCAAATATGTGCATAAGTACCTTTTTATTAAGAGCTGACCTGATACAGTGATTACTCCAAAGCCAGACAACTTAAAGCAGATTTAAACTCACCTGTTCTTAAATCAGATCTATGCTTGCTTGTTCTCCAGCACTGAGATTCCACAGACCTTCCCACCAGTCACTGACATCTTTGGCCCAGCGGCTTCTGGGTATCGATCCCGGGCCGTTTCCTTTGGCTGGGCCGAGATGACATCACTCCCATGTATGTGGGGGAGTTCAGTCACTTGGCATAGGCAAAATTCTTACACTGAGCTGTGGGTGTGCAGCTCAGTTTACAGTGCGGACAGGCAGGTAAGTAATTTTAATACAGAAGAAGCAAGGACTTAATAAAAAGCTTGCCCGTTTGCCTTAGGTAAAGTTCCACTATGAGCAGAATCTGAGTTGTGGGCCCATCATCACTTTTAAAAAAGATTTTTCACATTTTAATAAAGATGATTGTAATAGCCATAGTGCATTTGCAAAAACACAATTGAGTACTTTGTATATATACCATGTTCTTGATGTTAAAAGCATTGTTGTTGTTCTAAAAATAAAAGGTTTGCTCATTCTGTGTAAAAATAACATGCTGAAATATGCCAAATATTTCAGGACTTTTAAATGCTACAATATACTGTATATAATTTAAGATGCTATTCCTAAAGGTTTACTTTGTGCCAGAGCATCAGATACAGTGACACAATTAAATGGTCTTGTACCATGGAACAAACAGAGTAGTAGCTTCATCTGTCTTCTTACAGTTAGATTAAGGGAACAAAAGCTGTATATCATATGATGGAGCTCACTATCCCCATTTTTAGTGTTACAGGTTCTAGCCTTTACTACTAGAGCTCCCTCTGGTGTCTAAACTTATGTTATTGCTTTTGGGGATATATACACGTATTAAAAAAAAAAAAAGTACACATAATTGCTTACATTTTCCATTATTTTGACTATTTTACAGTAATTCTGCAATAATACACATTTAATGCAGGAAAGTTTACATTTTATTTAATTCGAAAAAGTAAGCAAAGAAGCAATAGTTTGTAAAATTATTAGAAATACAAAGAGAAACGTGAAAATTTGATGGCGAGCAGAGAGCTCTTTTCTCTGACATTTTTTTCCTTCTATCCAGACTATCAAGTCTATTCAATTCAGTTTTTTCCTATGTTCCTGGTAGCTAGAAAATCCACTTCTTACAAGGTCTACCATTGCACTCAGAAAGCCTAATTCACATAATGCCAAGCATGAATATTCCATCTCAGAAAATACTTTGTGGGACACATCCTGACTTTTCTGGATGAATGGTTGACCCTCTACAATTAAGTTCTTGAGTGAAATGTGTTATAGGGCAAAGATGCAGGTGGAAGTGCTTCTGTACTGGATATTATACCAATACATCTTTACATTGGGCTTTTGATGGAGAGCAGCTTCTTTTTCTTGGATGGTTATGATTCTGGAGCAGGTAGTGAACTGCTTGAAACCAGCACCTATTGATCACTGGAGCAGGTTAACTGCCTTGAGCAGAGAAAATAGAGTACGGCTTTTCTTCAATCTGGTCTGGATCAACAATTGGCCCTGAGTACTATCAAAGGTCGTTTCACAGCTCCGTAAGATTCAGAGTTGGCTATTTTTATTTTGCCCCATTTTTGCTTCACATAGACAAGGCTGTCATGAGGCCCAAGTCCTCCTTTCTCCCTAAGGTGGTGTCTTCCTTCCACCATATCCAGGATATCGTCACCTCTGCGCTGCTCCAGTACACCTCAAGGAGATTTCTGTCGATTGTTTGGATGTGATATAGGTTTTTCGAGTTTACCTCAGCTATTTAGTATTTTAGAATGACAGACTCCCTCTTTGTTGTTCTTGGGGCTCCCTGTATGGGACGGTCTGGGTCTCACTTCACTTTTTCCAGGTGACTTAGACAACATATTATTCAACTCCTCTATTTAACAGATTCCAAAAACAGTTCAAGGCATGCCGTGAATAACTCATAATTGCATGCACTCTCAACCAGGCTGTCAACCATCAAATGGCTGGAGTCATAGTTAGTTTGGCTCAAAAAAGACTAAAGTCCATCCAGTTCAACCATAAAAAAAAGTTATAATCCTATACCCACAGTTGATCCAGAGGAAGGCAAAATAAATGCAGCAAAGCATGATCCAATTTTCTTCTGCAGGAGAAAAAATTCCTTCCTGATCCTTCGAGAGTCTTAACTAATTACAAGTGCCTTTTTTTCACTTCAATAAAGATATTTTTTAACCTGTGGATATTTATTCTTCGGTATCTTTGATCAAGACCTCAGATATGCTGCTTGAACTGGTTTCTTCATTGCAGCTATCTGGATTGGTGTATCATCTGCAGTAGCTTTGGAGGCTGCCTCAGGACACCACTGGACTAGACA